GGGGCCATGCGCTGAGACCGTGGAGCGGGAGGGGTGTGGGTTCAGCCCTTTATTAGTTGTGCGATCGTAACCCCAGTCTCTCCCTCTTGAAAGGCTTGTTCAGCGACGTCTATGCAAAGGGCAGATGGGTCGCGGTGATCGCGGCGGATCGCGCTGGGCAGTCGGAGGCTCGGGGTTGGCTGCTGTTCCAGACGCCGTTGCAGCGTCGGAGCGAATGGACACATTCTTTGGTGCCTGGTGTATCCAAGCTGGAAGTAATTTACCTCCGCATTTCTGTTGGTTTATATGCATAAATAATACATGTCACTGTAAAGAATTCAAAACATTAGAACTGAAGGAAAGGTAGCCTGAAAGCTGCACCCTAAATTCACCACCAATCTCCCGGGAGCCCAGTGGGCAAGGGGGCCAGAAGGTCTCACCATGTGGTGTGCAGACTCCCACGTGTTCCCCGGCTTTCAGCACAGCCTTGCTGCCTACAGGGGAGATGGGGCCCCAAAGTCCAGAGCTTTGTTGAATTAAGATCTCCAGAAAGTAAACCTCCAGTCTCCTGCCGGTGGGGAAGGGATATGAGCTGCCAGCCATTCTGTGTTCAGACTTCCAGTGACTCCCCAGAGTTTTCACCCACTTGTCCCTGACCCTCCAGTTCAGAGCTTCTGAGGGAGCTGCAGCAGGAAGGAGCTGCTTACATTTCTGCCCCTCCCTGCTGGCTGAGGTTTCCACTTTCTCATGTTTGCTAAAAAGTTACTAAGCCTGACCTGGCTGCTGTGACTCAGTTGGTTGAGCTTCATCTTGTGCACCCAAAGGTCACCGGTTCATGTTTCTCTCTCCCTCTCCCTTCCTGTCTCTCTAAAATCAATTTTAAAAAACAACATAGCATTAAAAAACACAAAAACAAAACAAAACAAAAACAAGTTACTAGTCCTACATCTGAATTCTTACTTTCAGAAATGTCATTGCTGTTGTCTCGTTGCCATTTCTATTTGTCTATTGTTTCACACATTGACCTTAAATCTATGTCCAATGCTGTTCATTTCTAGGAACAAATAGAAGCTACCTTGCCTGGAACCTAACAATTTTTCAAAACACAGTAGGGCCACTCTTTCTTTTTTTAAAAGTGCTTTTGTTCCACTTAAACACATTAAGAAAAACTAAACCTTTAAAAGTAAAAAAAAAAAAAGAGTAAGAAAATAAAATTTATCAAAGCTCTCACAAATGGAAAGTTATAAAAATAAATCTACAATCATTTCCATTTTTTAATTAAATATACCTTCTATGGATTTCAGAGAGAGGAAGGGAAAGGGAGAGAGAGAGATAAACATCAATGATGAGAGAGTCAATGATCAGCTGCCTCCTGCATGCCCCCCACTGGGGATCGAGCCCACAACCCGGGCATGTGCCCCGACTGGGAATCGAACTGTGATCTCCTGGATTTTAGGTCGATGCTCAGCGGCTGAGCCACGCCCGGCCGGGCAATCACTTCCGTTTTTATTCTCCATTTCCTTTTGATGTGACTTAAAAGTACTCTTATATTAAGTTCATCTACATCTGTAGTCCAAACAAACAGAATCAACAATGTTGTGCCAATTTTATTCAAATGTTTGTTTATATATTCCAGATTCTCTTGGCTACTAGTGACAGAAACTCGCCTCAAACTAACTGGAATTGAAAAGGTAATTTGTTTGCAACAAATCGATATTTCCCTGTCTCTCCCTTCCTCTGTTTCTAAAATCAATTTTTTAAAAAATAAAAGATAATTTGTTAGAATACCTGAGAATTCCAAGGGTTTATTCAGCTCTTGTGACAGCTAAGTCGGGGGGAGGGGGGGGGCGGGGG